ACGTTTCGAGTAGTTGATTCGCCTACCTATCTTCAGAGACTGGAAAGTCCTGCCCACAGTTCCCCTTATAAAGCGCACTTTGTTCAATGCGCGACCCGCCAATGCTGCCTGTGTGGCTGCATCCAAACCGCATGTCATCGTGACCTGAATTGCCCTCGTCGGCCGCGGAGATGACTGACGATCCCGATTGTCCCGCGCCGTGACTGCCTCGTTAAGAAGGTTCGTAAAGTCAGATAGGGCGGAGGCAAATTGATGTGGCGGTTGACAGAGCACGAGCATAAGTTGGTCTTGCGGAGGTTGGACCCGAAGTCGGAGGTAGCAACCCGTGCCGCGCAAATGGGACAAATCTTCAACTTTGACACCGTTGAGATTGTGGGCCGGGACGGTGATCATACAGCAAGGCAAATGCAAGAAGCCTGGATGTCCACCGACTGCTCTGTCAACGGCCACATCAATTTTCCTACCCCCCTATCTGACTTTATGAACCACCTTAACGGGGGCAGTCACGGCGCGGGACAATCGGGGCCCAAATTCATCTCCGCGGCCGACGGGGGCGATTCAGGTCACGGTGACATGCGCGTCGGATGCAGCCACACAGGCGGCATTGCGGGTCACGCATTGAACAAAGTGCGCCATATGAGGGAAGCTGTGCGTAGGACTTTCCAGTCTCTGAAGATGGGTAGACGAATCAACTACTCGAAACGCCGAACCTCCAATAAACCCCTCCCGGTGAACGCCTCTTCTTCTTTTGATATGTCACCTGGGAATCGCATTTTCACTACTACTGATATGCCTACATGCATATCAGAAAAACTGTGCAGGAAGTTCAATACCTTTCACTGAAGGCTCTCCGCCCATCTGAACGCGTCAAATATAATTGAAAAACTCCACCAGAGGTCAGCCAACTGGCTGTCTAGCTGCCCCAATGAAGGTGTTTCTTAATCCGTCATTGGTTCATCTTCAAGTAACCAGATAACAGGCTTAGATCAACCTTCGTCCGTAGTATTTCTACTTGGAATCCTTCGCAAGCTATGAAAACAGAGCAGAACCTTCTTAGAACATATAGGTGGACTGCCCTGTAGTGGCCAAGTTAATCACTATTGAATTATACTGGCACGCCTGGGTCAACTGTCCGTGAAGGCAGAAGAATGAACCTCCAGTGGAACATCGAAAGTTAGGTTCTGTTTTACAATCCTACCAGCTGAATGAATGTTAATTCAGCGTAACTTCAAATCGCTTCCGCCCTATGACTGGCGTAGCTCTGGTGCGTAGTGCCGTTGCTTGCGTCATGTGCGCGCCAAAGCGAGACATCGACCCACAGGCCCTCATTTGTAATGCAGTGAGTCAACATCGGGGTGCTGAGTGATACTTTTCTGCCAGTCCGCCCGCTCATGCCGACGCAATTGTTCACAGAAGGAGGGGCTGGGACAAGGGAGAAAAACAGAGTGTCCACATGCGAAACTCGCCTCAGAGAGGTATCTGAGGCATCGGAGCTGAATTGCCATCGTTACTCAGTCCGTAAAATCCACTCCGTGGTCGCCATGCGACTTCATTGATGCTGTTTTCTTCACTAAACTTCAGTCAGGCATTGCTTACAGTGAGTGACCGATCTCATTAAATGTTGGCCGAAATTCTGAAATGCGTTTTCGATTGAGAATGTTTATTTAGGTGGTTTTGTAATACTGATTGTAATGCGACATAAGCCCGTAATCTTTCCGACTCGTCTGGATGTTAGCCCCTGAATGCCCTTCCTTTCGACCCCTGTAGAAACTGCACTAGTTAAAAAAGGACTACTTAAGTAGCATGCATTTTTCATATTGATTTTCGATGTTCTTAGAAATTCAAATCTATTTTATAGAAAACGCGCACGAAATTATGTTTTACTTTACTCACCCGGTAGAGAATCACGTTGTCTTTAAATTTTATGCCCGAGGAAAGGGTTTCCTAATTCTTGAATAATTTTGAGCCAGATCAGCCGTTTGGCGATTTAGTCTACAAGGCACATGCCTTCAGCGAATGGAAAATCATATATTTCTCAATGACTTTAAGAAGATACCATATGGAGTTCATAAACTTTTTCAATGGATGCGGATTATGTTGTACATTTCATGAGGAGCCTTGGCAAACGGACATACGGGATGCTGTGTGTATGGACATCACACGGTCCTAAAATCTTAGAAGTACAACTATTTAAGGGTATAAAATTTAAAGAAAATGTGATTTTCTGCCAAACGAGTAAAAGAAAGCATATTTGTATGCGCGTTTTCTACAAAATATATTCGAATTTATAAGACCATAGAAAATCAATGGAAAAAAGCATGCTACTTGAGTAGTCATCTTTTATCGAGTGTGTTTTCTGCAGGAGGTCGAAAAGAAGCGCATTCCATAGCCGGCATACCGGCGAGTCCGAAATACTATAGGATTATGCCGCACAGTAATTAGTATTACAACCCCACCCAAGTAGTCCTTCCTAATCGAAAACGCATTTCAATATTTCGGCCAACCTTTCATGGGATCGGTCACGTGCTGTACGTGACCGACCCATTCTAATATAACCTATTCGGTCGACGTAAGATTTAAATTTTCCAAAAACAGCAAAACCGATTCTGAGCGATAAAGTGTGCTGCTTTGAAAAGCCCAATCGATTAAAAAAGGGGATTAGGGTTGCCGTTTCTAATAGCCAATGGCTCATCAACTACGGGTTGCGCAGACCGGTTATAGTCCTCCATTTCTTCATTGATTATTGGTCATGCGTCACTTTGTGATCACTTCTCAACACTCCAGTCCAGCAGTTTTGGGTACAGTAGAATGCTCATTCTCTGTCCCACTAAAAAGACAAGCAGTTAGAAGTCACTTCCACGTCAAAGCACTATTCGTCAAAAAGTTGTCAATATAGTTAGATTTGATGGCGAATATTAGTTTAAGAGATATTTCCTCTCTTCCAACTCGGCGCTTAAGCGTAAAAGTGTTAAGTGAAGATTATCCCGTTGAGACACAACTTTAAAGACTAAACATTGGTTGATGAATCGTTCAGTGCATCGATTTAGGATACTTTTTCGAATTAACCAATAAAAATGCGCTTTTCGGCAGAAGTTTGCACAAAATCTCGCCATCCACGACAACGAACTCTCAGTACATCAGCATGAACAGTGGTATAACTAGACCGGAAAAGTAGGATTGTGAGAAAACCAGTAAACGCGTAACTAATGTCAACCAGGCCTAGACATCCAGACAGCTCAGATAACAAAAGTACAGTCTCATATGTGGGTGCTTGTACAATAATTGACCAGCCAAATAAATAACCCTGTAAGGTACTTTAATTTGACATTCACTGCTCTAGAAAATTTAGCTACTTTGATTAATTATATCCTCACCGGTCTAGTAAGTACCCTATTCAGCTCAATCTCGCAGCAGGTACTGCTCAAAAGGGAACATCAGTAGACTTTGTGTGTATATTTAGCATCATAGGTATGTCCCTAAAATAGGCCACACAGTAAATGGGCTAGACCAAAAACAGGGGCCAAATCGGAGCCCGACAGGCGTTAGGGGGAATGCGCACCCATATCAAATGTCAACATTGCGGTGCGATGACACGCTCGTGGGCAGACTCACGATGCGCCCATTGGGATCCGTGTCACAACATACTTTCCTTGCGTAGGTTATGAACCAGGTGTTTTGGTACGCCTAGGTGCGAGTTTTGGACGCGCCCTCTTCTGCCTCCGGCCTTCTTGACCCTGTATTGATACCAGGCCCGCGAGAGGAGTAAGAAGAATTGCGGTAGATGCAGCGCAAGTCTACTCTTACTATTCAATAACTCACACGCAAGCCGCCGTCCATGCTCTCATTCGTTTGTGGAACACGCGGTGGACATTGTCGGTCACGGAGGTTGGATTGTCAGCACCATTTGTGCATGCACCGCCGCTCACTTTTAACGTCGATCTAGAATTGATTTTCAGGCATTTTAACAATACCCTTCTTAAATAATCATGTAACGAAAAACGGGAGCTATCTGCTTTTATGAAACGATGCCAACATTGAACGTACTCTTTATAAGAGATGTTTGAAGTCAAAAAGCCTTTACTGCAAAAAATAGAACCGTCTGCTCCCGAATTTTCCCTGGATTTCTGTAATAGATAGATTTTAGTGCAGTTCTTATTATAACAACCTGTCTTCAACGGAATTTTGTGCTTATAAAAACTACCAGAGTTTCTAAAATACCTTGTTAAGCACCAAATATATCCGATGGGATTTGGGTAGGCCAGTGATCCGACCACGTCTCACAGCGTACGCCCTGGGATTTGCGTTATTTCTTCCATTCCGATGGTAGGTTTGACATGAAAACGCCAGATTATTAGAAACATATCCTTTTGTATCAACCGCCTAACATATTATGGTAACTATATATTAGCGTCTAGTGGTCAAACGTTACAGTTGCCTATGTGGTACCTCAAAACTCCACTGATCCAACGTCACTGTGCGTTCAGAAATATAAAAATTTAGAAGGTGGTTAATGTACGTGTGAGCAAAATTCCCAACTTAAGTTGGTGACTTACTAATCAACACACAAATATTGTCCGCGGTACTTGCTTTATGCTGGGCTTTAGAGCCCCAAAAGCCTTCTGCTGAACGAAGGCTCTTCCGTAAACTCTGACAAATGTCAAATTCTTTACGATCCTGGTCCTCCAGATAGAGACAGCCCTTTCACGGCCATTACCGATCGTCGGTACGCCACAGGCGCGTCTTGTACTTTCCGGAGCGGGGCATGAAAATTGTTCGAGTAGGCATCCAGCCCTCACTTCTTGTGACTGGGATCTTGTTTGATCCCCTTCAGTCTGTATTATGTGTGATATGTTTTCTCGGGTGCAACGTTCGTTATCACCATCAGCCCAGCTGTCGGGTCGACAGAACAACAACCACAACAAATGAGGTTCCATACTGCAAAACCAAATAACCCCACCCACTACTATTCCCGTAAAACAGGCTCTGCGGGTTGCCTGCCGATGACTCCAGCTAAATACCGCACCCCCGCCTTTCCAGTGGTCGTATACTCTGATTGTGCTTCTTCTTTTTCTTCTTCTTTCTTCTTCTTCTTCTTCTTCTTCTTCTTCTTTTTCTTCTTTCTTCTCCTTTCTTCTTTCTTCTTATTCTTCTTTCTTCTTCTTCTTCTTCTTCTTCACCTACTCCTCCTCCTCCTCCTCGTCCTCCTCTTCTTCTTCCTCCTCTTCTTCCTCACCCTCTTCTTCTTCTTCTTCTTCTTTCTTCTCCTTTTATCTTTCTTCTTTGTTCTTCTTCTTTGTTCTTCTTCTTTGTTCTTCTTCTTATTCTTCCTCTTCCTCTTCTTCTTCCCCTCCTCGTCCTCCTCCTCTTCTTCCTTCTCTTCTTCCTCCCCCTCTTCTTCTTCTTCTTTTTTTTTCTTCTTCTTCTTCTTCCCCTCCTCCTCCTCCTCCTCCTCGTCCTCCTCTTCTTCCTCCCCCTACTCTTCTTCTTCTTCTTCTTCTTCTTCTTCTTTCTTTCTTCTTCTTCTTCTTCTTCTTCTTCTTTTTTCTCCTTTCTTCTTTCTTCTTTGTTCTTCTTCTTCTTCTTCTCCTCCTTTCTTCTTCTTCTTCTTCTTCTTCTTCTTCTTCTTGATAAAAGAGTATAGGACCAGCACATTCGCCTCTATTAGTGAAGAGGACTGCTTTTTGTCAACAGCGAGCGCTACGATTTCTTCTGGCTTGGAATCTCATAGCCAGGACCAGATCTCCTTTATTATTTTGATTTTTAGGCGAACTTCTCCGCAATAAGATGCTGCTATAGTCGTGTTGTTTGATGTTGCCTCCAGTTTTCACAGATCCGACACTGGACCAATCACGCTCGAAGAAAATCTTCACAGCGGCTCTCTATAACTATCCAGATAGCCAGAACGTATTTAGCCAGTGCGAAGTGTATCCGACGTTTTTGAAAAATCTCCAGGTGCCGGCCAGTGAATTAGAACTGGAAGCTCGTAAGTTAATTTTTATGAGCGAAAATGCAAATGATAGCATTCTACTTTTTTTTTAAAAAAAATTGGGTTTTTCCACCCGCGCTCAGCATTCAAAAGACACGTTTGCATGACAATGTTCGCAGATACAACCACTTAGTACGTCTCGTACCCATCCCATTTTGAAGTACACTCAGCCAATTTTAAACTCATCAGTGATAGGTCAATGCTGGTAGCGTTAACGCCGTTTAGCGATTGGCTGAAATCCTTGCCTTCACGTAGTGTAGTCTCACTGATAAGAGCATAGAGAACACCCGAAAAGGTCTTTATCTTCATCCAACCTGCTTGCCGCACGAAACGCTGACGTGGGCTTTGAAGCTGGCCGATAGTGCATGTTGATACTCGACTTTTAAAGAATGTTTACAGTGAATTTCTAACAGCCTGGCTACCTAGGGCTTGTTTGCACGCATAAAACACTCTAAGGTATTAAATGTACGGGTTGTTATCTTCAGCTTAGAGTGTCGACACTCTTTTAGGACCCTTAAATGAGTTCCTTTTGGGATTTAGCAGCATCGGAAGAAGGCGAGCCAATTACCGGATCTAGCAACAGCGGTCACTGAGTCATTGGTTAGGTTTTCCATGAGTGAGCAAC